TGAGCGTGATGGACGTGGTAATGTTTGAGGCGCAACGACAGGGTCGGTTGAGTTTCTACATGGTATGTACACCGACATTTCGCCCGCAAATAGCACCCACAGTCAATGGCTAATGTTTCTCAAGGTCTCCGCCGGAGAAGAAGGCATTAGTGTCGGATCCGCTGCAGCATTGACTCCGGATGATGTGGTGTTTGCCCAGTATCGTGAGACAGGGGTGTTCCAACAGCGAGGCTTCGCCCTGAAAGATTTCATGAGCCAACTTTTTGCCAACCGGCATGACAATGGGAGAGGTCGCAACATGCCCGTTCATTATGGATGCAATTATCCACGCACTGTGAGTTCCTACCACAGTCCATTCTTCATACCAACGCCTTGTCTGACTCTATACTAGCACACCATCTCATCCACCTTGGCAACCCAAATCCCACAGTCATCAGGGGCGGCCTATGCATTGAAGCTACAAGCCTTGCAAAACCCTGACACCCCACCCCGAATTGTCGCCTGCTACTTCGGCGAAGGAGCTGCCAGTGAAGGCGACTTCCATGCGGGCCTCAACATCGCCGCCACGCGTTCCTGCCCCATAGTTTTCATCTGCCGAAACAACGGATATGCTATTTCAACACCAACCCTTGAGCAATACCGCGGCGACGGTATCGCCAGCCGTGGACTCGGCTACGGGATTGACACCATTCGCGTGGACGGGAATGATATCTTTGCCGTGTACGAGGCGATGCGTAAGGCACGAAGCATCGCCCTACAGGATGGCGGCAAGCCTGTCCTCATCGAGGCAATGAGCTACCGCGTCTCACATCACAGTACCAGTGACGACAGTTTCGCCTATCGTGCTCGTGTTGAAGTCGAAGACTGGAAACGTCGCGACAATCCGATTATCCGGTTGCGGAAGTGGTTGGAAAACGAAGGGCTCTGGAACGAGGATCTCGAACGCGACACGCGTGATCAGCTGCGGAAAGCCGTGTTGAAGGAATTCGGAGAGGCTGAGCGTAAAAAGAAACCTGCTATCCGGGAGGCGTTCGAAGGTGTATACGAGGAAGTAACGGAGGAAGCTGAGGCGCAGATGAAGGAGCTCAAGCGCATTATCGAGACCTATCCGGAGGAGTACGATCTTCGCCAGTTCCACGAGGGAATAAACGGTCTATGAGGTAATGGATTGGCCTCGCGATGATGTCTCCCAGCATATACAATCCGATTTTTGTAAAGGATTAGCGTAGAGAGCAGACATACAACAATACATACACTGTTTATCGAAGGCAAAGTACACCAGTCCCAGTACAGTCTCAACCACTGTGTTCCCGGAGTGTAAATACTATGCTGAGAGTCCACAAAATCCTATGCACAAGATTCTAATATAGACACAATGTAATGACGCAAATATTGTCTATCGATCGAAATTGTTCTTCAAGCCGAGGCAACCGAAATGGATAAGGTTGTTCAAACCAAACGCTGCAATAATGCACCCGAACTCCACCAAGGTGTTCACAAGGAACTAATCTGACATTAGCCAGTCAGGGATCGCATCTTCATCTTCTGGATCCTGTGACAATAGAGAGGCTTCGTCACTGCTATAAGGGTCCTGGCTAGCAGCTTCCAGGGATGGAGTACGTGAGTCGGAAGCAGCCTCAGGCAGATAAGATTCCAATGTTTGGGAGGCATCCTCGATGGTAGTATTATTTTCTGGGTGATTCTCGACTTGGGGTGGAATAGAACCTAGGTTCTGGCTGGTATATTGGGGCGCAAGGTCTTGGGCTGAGCTCCTCTGGTTTGGACTCTCAGTCGTAGGTACGACAACAAGCCTGTACAGTAAAGGCTCTGGTGGACGGTTCACATGTGCTGGCCTCGAACCCTCCACAGGAAGGAGTGAAGATGTCAGAGGTTCGCTATCCTCCGGGACAAACCCGCCGCCGGGTACATCCTCAATCGCAGGCTCCTGGGTGTCCACGTCTGTATTTTCTTGGGATGTTTCTTTCACGAAACCTGTGCTACCAAAAGTGGCAGGGGGCCCCATTGTCTCCTGATCTGGCTCAGGGAAGAATCCACCGCCGGCTTCTTCTGGATCCTCATATTCATTCATGTTTGTGTCCATGTCCGCATCATCGTTATCGTTATCATGCTCGCCCTCAAATTTATAACCTTTCACTCTTTCTGCAATGCGCAGTTTGAGCAGAAAATGCTTCCATGATTGCAGGGCCTCAGCTGACTTCGTTTCTAGCTCAGCTTGCAATTTTTCTGTCTCAAGACAATATAGGACTTCTTCAAGTGCTTCCTGATACTCGCTGGCAACGATAATTCCCTGGAATATAGCTGTTCCGTGACGTCCCTTGAAGTTAAACCCAGTGACAGCAGCTGCATAGTCAATGGCAAGGGTCCCGGCGGCATATGCAGCATCAGGATGAGTTATATGAACACCACCTGGCGGTATCATGCTAGGTACAAAGATATCCAAGTTCCCGTAAATATTTTTGGGTACTTTACCTCGAACGACAGGCGGTGGCTCATATATCTGAGTTTGGAAGAAAGCGTAAAGCGGTGTTTCTGCCACACCGCCCCCCTGTGAATCATCATCAAATTCCCCGGGCTGGGGCTTTCTAGAAGGAACACGCTTTAGTGGTTGCTCACCTGTCTTAATGTCCCGTCCTAGACGATACCACTTATTGGCACTGCGGAGGGCGTGAACGTCAGACCGGCGAAACACGGGTTCCAGGATCTGGTCCTTTGATCTTGACTTGCCAAGTGCTACCTGACCAATCACCCGCTTCGGGAAAACAACCTCGTTCCGACGAAGATGTCGTTCGATTGCGTAGATGGGATGGTCCTTGAAATCTTGGATATTCCGAGGCATAGGTTCAGCGGCGGTTTTGGAAGTTAGTTCACTGATCTCTAGCTGATCCCGATCTTCCAGGAATGGCTTCTCGTAGAAGCAGAGCGCTTTGTTCCACCAATTTGCCCCATTCTTGGTGGATTCTATTCGATATTTGCGAGTCTTTGCGTTGAAGGCCTTTGCATAGCGCCTTGTAACATCCCTAGCAGAAGCGTCGTCCTCGAACGCTACCACGTAGCTCATTATATTGTAAATATCATTGCTTGGGGGCTCAAATTTGAAAGACTTTGCGAGTGACTTTGTGACCAAAGGATCAACAGGTATCCATTTCTGGGTTGCTTCGTTCAGGGCCTCAACCCAGAATACAGGATAGGACGATTCCCGGGCACTGATACGGGGGCCTTTGGTTATTAGCACCATATAAATAGTAATAATGCATGAACTTACTGCTATTGGGTGTTTCAACTCGTCGCGATGCTGTAAACTGTGGCCGAGCAAGTCTTCGCCTATTCGCGTGTGGTGATGAGCGTGCTTGTCCACTGACTGATCTCTCAAGTTCATTCGATGAGTCATGAGCGTCTTGTTCAGTAGACGAAGAGTCCATGGACTTCGTTGTTCCCGAGAATGGCAGTGGTTGAAGAGAGCAGACAAGTCTTGCTTCTACAGCCACAGATCGTAGTAAAGCACAGAATAATTGAGCACCGAAGTCTCGCGAGCCTTGCATTGTTTTTGCCTGTTCATAGAAACCTTCACGCGACAAAAACACCTCTGCATCTTTTATTATAGACCCCTGAAAAAAAAAACCTGTCAGATACGCGATACATGTGGTGTCAGGCCTGATGACAGTACCGCTCGTTGCTTCAGGGATTGTGGACTATCTGTCCAAAAAGGCCGCTTCAAGCCTGGTTTTGCCACTTTGAATCTTCTATTGAATACATCGCTAGCTTGATTCAGCCCATCAATAAATGTTGTTGATCTGTTGTATTGTGGCTTATTCTCGGGTGAATGTAGAAGGGAGATAATTTTTGATGATAACATTCGTTTGAGGAAGCTCTATACATAACAGTTAGATGGCTATAGACTCTTAAAATCTGTTTTCATATATTTCAAGTTTAATCCCTCAGCCCTGGCTTGTGCTTTCCTGGATACCAATTTTCGCACCGAACAGGCAAAGAAGATATAGCTGACGTGGGAAGAACGAACCTGTACTTCCTCATCATTGCACCAGAGGTTACGTATCTGCACATGACGCATAAGACAAAGCAAATGGACCTTATGAATATCTAATCTCAACTGCTTCTCTGCGGCTGTAATTGTCCTTCGCCTTGGGACTACATGGCGCTTTTGATCCTGGGGTTGATCCAAGGTGACCTGAATCGATGAATAATCCGGTTGATCATTATATGATGATTGTTGAATATCAACCTCCTCCCAGTCCAAGTCTGACTCTTCAGACGAGGACGAAGGTGAATCATACACAGTCTGAACATGGAGAGCATCAGAATTATTCTCTTCTGGTGCAGTGGCGACTTCTGCACTAGTAGACAGGGAGCCTGGTAGGGGTTTCTGGGCAGCGCGTCTCCTCTTCTTAAGCGGGGGGTCATTATCGGACCCAGATGGCTCCCGGGATTCAGCCTCCGCAAGCATCTCCTGGTACACTGCCGGCACTTGTTCGTCTCGCTCATCGCGCCGCCTCCGCTGTAGGCGGGGTTCGGCTAGTTGCCTTCTAGAGCGAGTGGACGGCGTACGGCTCACCATCTTGAAACTTTCTCTGCAGGCGGCCGGTTGTACAGCTATCGTACAACACAGAGGTTGATTTGATGTACCCCATGTACAAGTTGGATGGTTGTGCATGAGTTGGCTTATCGGAAGATGCGTTGATGACGCTCAGCTGACACGTGACTTACATGTTTGTCCTGTTTTTATCCCTTCGGGAGGTGTTGTTCCGGGTCCAAAGCGCGAGCCACCGTTAAAAGACAACGAATAACGATTTCTAGACTAGACAATATTGTGTATGGAATTATTTAATTTGTTTGTTTATTGAAAAAAGAAATAAAGCAAAAGTAGTTCTAGCAACATCTAGCAATTCTCATCACGGCACATGTGGATGTAGATAAGAAGATTGAGGAGACAAAAAAAAGACAACGTTGTTGTTCCGGATATGGGCCCGAACCGCGATTCGAACGCGGGACCTCTCGCATTTCTTGAAATCAAGTAAATCCACTTGTAAAGTGGGGGAGGATTTTCCCGAAGCGAGAATCATACCACTAGACCATCCGGGCAGTTGTTATTTGTCAGGTAAAACTTGTGCACTATAAGCCAAATTTAATTTCCTGAAATCTTCCCATTACCCAACCACAATCCGTTGGTCGGTATGTCCTCGAACCTCAACCCTCATTCACTATGACTCCGTCTATGAACTCTATTAAGACTATCTCTGGTGCTCGCGATCTTCTTAGAGATGTAATTATGATGTCCCAGTCATGATGTTAGGGATTTGAGTAACATAGTACCCTCCCGAGGTTAGTTATACGTAAATGTCCTCAGCTTATAGAGTGTACAAAAAACAAGACCTTGGGTTGATCGTTGCAGAATAGTACTAGCTCCTGGGTAATTTAGGTGGATGCATATGAAAATCGATCACGGCAATTACGATTATTCCGCTGCGTGAATTGCATACTCTGTGGAGCAACATGGGCGGATTTGGTGCACCACCACCTTTGAAGGTAGCGAGACTTCCTACCAGGAGGTCATGTGTCTCACCCATCAATATCGGTCACGCGCCTTTACCTTTACCATTACTTCCCATCCTTTTTCATCTTTATAGATAGCCTGCCTGCTGCCTCCCGGACAGTTTTATCTCCCACCATCCACTTTCCAGAGGGAGCTCCTGACGATTTCTAACCATACTCTACCCCCTACTTCCTACTTTCCTTGTCACCGTTGCTCCCTGATCTCCAACAGTGCAACCGTTCCAGAACGGGCCCTGGGTCCATGCTACAATAGTCTCCATTATAGAGTAGCAAGTGGGCCATGGGATTCACTACCTGCAATAAACCGGTGGCATGAGGAGACTCAGAGATCCAATTGGATGCAACCTGCTCAAGAACCGTTGCAGTGACGGTCGAGTCTCTCCTGAAGATATGTATAAGTATCTGACTCAACAATACAAACGGGTGAAAAGATACTAGTACTCACACGAGTTTGACGAGCTGCGGGCTACACAGAAATAGAATACTGGGACCCAGAACTCCCACCAAGATCGACCATCGCTTGCCGTATCGTTTGTCATTGTGAAACTTGCTCCGAAGCTCTGCCCGCCTTCGAGAATTATATGTGCCCCAGTCGGAGTGCATACGAGCCAGTATATTATCGATCATGGCACTTGCATCCCCGCGTCCGACGCCGATAGACTCTTTACACCGCTTGGGACTCTTCTGTGACTGCCAGTCGGCTAGTGCTTCCTTGTATTTCGCATCAAGCAGAACCAAGGCTGCACGTCTTCGAATCGGATCATGGTTGATTCGGATATCAAGCTCGCACATACAGGAGTAGATATTCTGCAGACTCTCGTACCCAGAAATACCCCAGTTGGGATCGGAAAGCGCGGACCGGTACCACAGACCGTTGACCCTCCAATGGGGAATATTCTTCTCAATAAAACACACGAAGTCTTCCCGAATGTAGATGGGCATGGGAAGTGACTGCGCCGCAAGCGGCCCTGGGGTTTCCTGATATGAAGACCCTTTTCGGGTGGATGTTGATGACTTGCATTGTTTCAGAGAGGATCTTGCACGGAGGTCAGTTAGGCCTGACTCTGCTTCATAACCCCGGTAAGTCTGCATTGGAGACTGTTCACCGTCATAACCTGCATGCATTAGATCAAAGGTTTCTTGTCCAGCAATCGCTGCAGAAAGTCCCGCCTCGTTGAGAGGCCACGAATTCGAATGAATAGGACGTGGAAGCGGAGGCGTATCCGGAGGTACTATTCATGCATGTCAATATATTACCATTTATGGTGAATAGAAATAATAAGCGCCATACAGTCAAAGGGGGCAACTTCCAACGCTAGTTGCCCATCCCACAAGTGAACATCACCATGGCTACACTCTGCCTATATACCGTGTCAGTCTAATAAAACTTATCCAGGCAGCTAGCCCAATAAGGAGATGACGACATTTAATGCATCAATTGCGAGATCACCCGCCACGTGGATTTGACTTTCGCGGGGAGTAAACCCAATATCCTCCAGACTAAAAGGTCCGGCAAGTTCCGAGGCTTCGAATGTATTTGGGGAAAAACCCCGAGAAAAACTATTCACCGAATCAAGACCATCAGTACTGCTCAAAGATGTCGCTAGCGGAAGCACGGCCTCGTCTTGAAGTGCCTCCTCATCGCGTCTGCACCATGATTGTGTCAGTGGGAATCGAGACTACCAGTATAAACAAAGTGTGGCCCCTTACTGAATGTATTGATTACCCTCGAGCAGGAGAATCGGACTGGGCACAACAACTCCCCCGATCGTGGCCTCGCGCATGACAATTTTATAAGGCTGTAGACGGCGATTAAACTCTTCCATTGAGTTGATATCGGTTTCATCGAGAAATGATTTCACTGCCTCAATCAGAGGGCCTAAATGAAGACTGGGAGAGCTCGACATACTTAACTTTTTGACGTATAATAATTAGGCTGTTAGAGAAATCCCGGTCCACAGAACGAAAAAATGAGGTCTTATTTGATGTACGCCCAGCTTGCCGTGAACTTATGATTGTAAGCCAGGAGGATGGAGGTAGCTACATATTAGAAGGGCCACGCTAGGTGGGGAGAAGGACTAGGAAGTGGGGTGAGTACTCCATAAGCCCAGCCACTGATGGATTTACTGCTTATCCTGAATACCAGCAATAAAGCTGTTGTCTGGGGTGCTACTAGCATACGCTAATGTTTTAGCGGCCACCTACTTGAGACGGTTCCTGCCATCTAAAATCTCCCCCCATGTTGATAGCTGATTTTCTTATTGCTGTTTGTTATCTGCTAACATAGTCTGGCTTACATCTGCAGAATAAGCGGACGATCAAATGACGCTCATGGTGAGGACAAAGGAGAACCGACGTCTTTCAGAACAGTGGCAAGTTCCCCCACATAGCTTGATTCGGCCTTCATATACTTCTTGTTACCAACCCCAAAAGACCAGGCAACATTTTTAGTCCGGTGTTTGTCATATGAAGGTGCAGCAGCAAAAAAATCGAGGACTCTGTCGTTTACAACAGGCAACTGGTTTGCGGGGAGGTTCAGTGCATAGAATGCCACTCGCTTAATGGTACCAGTAGTGTACTCCATCGTGACAGCGAAGGCAAATCCTTGAGGATTGAGGAAAGTCTGCATATCCTGGTACTCCTGGGCAGTGGGTGGATCGCACTGAGCCAGTTTGGTGTACTGTGCCGCTTGGGTCTCGGATATTGGGCCCGGTGCCGTGAAGTAGAGGTTCATTGAGTTGCCATCATAGTCAACAGCAAGAAACCTCACGAGTCTGAGACCGAGCCTATGGAATGTTGGCGCATGGGCGCGAACAGATTCCGGGACTACTGCAGCGTTCAGGATGTCGTCAACAGGCCGTCGGCCTTTCAAGTTAACCCAAGTTTTGACGAGCCCTGTCTCCGGATGAAAGTCACACCACTGCTCCGTATCGCCATTGTATAGAGCGCTTCAGCAAGTGACTAGTTGTCCCATGGGGTCGTTCGGATCGAGGTAGCCGGCCTGAGTTGCAATATGAACAGTGTCCAATCGACGCCGGAGATAGAACCGATAGTTGACAGGATCTCGCGGTCGGTTCGTGGTACGCCAAATGACAGCGCCTTCTTTGAAACATGTTTCGAATGTTTTCAATGTGTCAAGGATGGCAGTCTCCGAGTATGGTGCTCCGATGGCATCAGCAGTTTTCTTGAAATCATTCAAGAACTGAGGCTGGTCAAAGGCGCTAGGGGGGTTGATGACAGTCATTGTGACGGACATTGCACAAAATTTAAAGAAAAGAATAGTTTGGTTTCTTTCCAACCATGCGATTCCACTGGAGATGTATCTGTATCCCCGTGCATGGCTGTCGGCCAATTTATACCCGGACGGGACAAGGAGCCAGTGTGATACACGCCTTCTAATCAGGCGATACGCAGGACATGACCAAAGCCATGCTTGAAACTTCTTCGTCTATACTATCGGACTTGCCCACTGGCTTGAGCGGGCTGAGTTGGAAGTCTCCAGCCTGACGTCGCTTTGTTCGAAGACGGGACCAGACGTGGCTGTTCCAGCGTCTCATCGTCATCGCGGACTAAACCATTTTCTAGCTCTGGTTTAGGGTGCGGGGGAAAGGATTTTGGCCTGAGCGTCGATCGCATCTTAGACTAACTTTCAAGAGGTCCTACCGCCGGGTGAAAGCCTGGCCTGAATCCTTCGTCGCTGATATATTAGGTTTTCTAAACTCCAAAGAGAAGTGGGATAAGCCACGGAAGTAGCTTCCTGATGGGGTGGACTAGTTGGCAGTTGGATCCACTCGCTAGCTCCAGGCAGCTACCGAGACTATGTGCACGGCAAGGAAGGGGTGTGTCGGCTTGAATTGATTCGGATCCACCTTTCGGGTGAGATTTGATAGGTCTGCAACCTTGTCTTCTTTCTCCGTGATATGCGCAATCGAATAATTTAGCTGTGGGCTGTATTTCAAGGAGCCAATTGCTGTGGAGTTTCCTATCACGCCATTGGGGGCGAAGAGCATTATCAACCCCCACCACCGAGCGAACCAAGAACTTGCTGATAGTAGATCGTTGGGGTAAGTGTCCTTCGAGGGTCATGCTCGAGTCCAAGTTTTGGCAATTTAATTCCAAGTTTGGACGAGAAAATAAATCATTGTCTCTAAAGGCGAGACCTTCCCACTCGGCCAAGTCATCTATGGCACTTGGTATCCCAGGCATTGAGGACGCAATGGCAAGTAGCCGGGATCGGTATTGGCTGGATACCAATAGCCACGCAAGTGCACGGTATATTATATGTCAAATTCATCCAGAAATTGAAAAACTGAGAATCACAACTCTAGTCTCAATCTACAACACTTCTGGAACCAGTTGTCATGCGGGTATCTCATTCACCCCGATATACCTGTTGCCACGAATGCAAAGGTAGCGGATGTTGGCACAGGAACTGGGTAGCTACCACTTCTTTCTTTAAGCTGTTGGGGTTGTACTGATGTTAAAAAAAAAGGTTGTGGCCAATCTCGCTCTCGACAACTCTACCCCCT